GCACGGCTGAGGCCGAAGGCGGAGCCTGCGCGGCCCGGGAGGCGGTGCTGCGCGAACGCGTGTGAGTGAGGGGCGGGCCCGGGGCAGGGGAGGGAGGAGGGACGGGCCCATGTGGGCGGGGCCTTAGAGAGATTTGTGAGAGGAAGATCAAAGTACGGGTCCTGGAGTAGGAACCTAGGGGTGGTGGACACTCTGGATGAGGGAATCCCCAGGTTGGGGCCGGCACTCTGGAGTCATGGGGTCCGGCGCATCTTTGGAGCCCTGGGAGAGTGGTGGAAGGGTGCAAAGAAAAGAGAGTATCGAGAGAGGGACCAGAGGTCCGGAGCGGAGCTTCTGGGGAAGGAGCTAGGAGTTCCTGGGGAGGGGTCCTGGGATAGCCAGGGGTGGAGAAAGGATAGGGATCCTGGAGGATGGAGATCTCTGGGGAATAGGGTTCCCAGGAAAGGCGGGAGTGCTGGGGATTCTGTGGAGTCGGGTGTCCAGGTTTTGATGGGTCTCTCCTCCCCTGCAGTAAAGCCCTGGGAGCCGAGGTCGACTCCCAGCGCAGAGTGCCGCATCCCCGGCCTCGCTCCGGCTCCCGACCCCGGCCCAGCCCCCGGTCTCGTTCTCGCCCCAAACCCTCGGGGGGCTGCCGGCGGCGGCCGGCCAGGCGCACACGAGGGTGAGTCAGTCCCCTGCAGGATGGGGGCCGGAGGCCAGAAGGACAGACACTGTGGGGGTCCTGCGGGGGTATTTACAGACGTGCCTACGCTGGAAGAGATGCCTGGTCGACACCCATCAACGCTCAGCTTTAGACCCAGGAGCCTCTCTGAATGGAAATGGTGCAGAAAGAAGACTGGACCCTCTCTCCCCGACTATCTAGTGCTTATTCTACAGAGGAGGAAACAGGGGCCCATTTGGTCGCCCAGTGAGATAGTGCTGATTTGGGACTTAAGCCTCCACAAACGATAGTGTTGTTCTAATCCTACAGATGAGAGAACTTTAGGTTCCAGCCCTGGCTGCATTGTCACCTGGAGAGGTCACTTCTCTCTAGACCTCAGTTTACCTTGTTTGTAAAATGAATGATTGGAATCATGTGTAGAGAGTGGGCTTATCCTTCACAACAAAAATGACAAAGATGGCACAATGAGAAACTATAGACCCCTCTTCCTGTGAGGATGGTACAAAACTCCCAAATGGAATTTTATCAAAGAGAACCAAGTAACACATTTTTAAAAATACACCACAACAAAGGGACTTATGCCTGAGATACAGGGATAGTTCAGTATTCAGAAGTTTGTTAATAAATTCACCATACTAATGGATCAAATGAGAAGAGTTCTAAAAAAGGCCATCGAAATCGAGGCCAAGGGGAGGAAAGACTACTATCAATTAGTTAATATTGTTCTGGTGGTACTAGCCAATACAATTAAACAAGAAAAAAGCAATGTACAAATATAGAAAAGAGGAAGAAAATTTGTAGGTTGGATTATATGAAAGCGCTATTTATACAGATCAAAAAAACCTGAAATATCAATAATTTCATGTGACTCAATTTCATATTATTGTTTTTTACCTTTATATTTGACATAACTTCAGACTTACAGAAAAATTGGAAGGTGAGTACAAAGAACTCTTAGGCACCCCTCACACAGATTCCACAAATATTAACTTTACCACCTTTGCTTTCTCTCTTTCCTTTATGAAAAACTTGCAGAAATGATGTCTCTTTACCCATAAATACTTGAGTATGCATTTCCTAAAAACAAGAAATTATCTCACATAATCGTCATACAATTATGAAAATCAGGAAATGGACATTGATAAAATACTGTTATCTAACCTACAGACCTTGAACAGATTTCACCAACTGTCCTGATAATGTCTTTTATAACAAAAGGATATCCTGGCTCACACATTGTATTTGTCAAGTCTCTTTCATCACTTCTAGCCTTGAACATTCCTCAATCTGTCTTTTTTCTTTTTAAGGTATTGGCATTTTTTAAAAGCCCAAGCCAGTCATTTTGTGGAGTCTGAGTTTGGGTTTGTGTGATGTTTATTTAT